GTTGCACTGAGCAGAGAGGGATGTCCACTTGTTTCTAAACAAGAGTTTATAGGTGGATTGTAATATAGAACCAACAAAGAGTACAGCCATTATGTTTGGAAGAAGGCAGATATATTCTTGTGAAGAGAAATGCAGCTATCTGCCAAACAATCTAGACCTACATTGACTTATCAGACAAAAGTCAGGTCTTCTGTAGTCTTAGCACATGCACACCCAAATCTATGTGGATCAAAAATAAGACCTCCACAGATGCAGCAAGACTGAAAATTATGATGCTTTTGTCTAAGTCTAAGCCAGCACACGGAATCTTAAAAAATCTCTCAAAACCAAAGAAGTGGTTATTCATCCTTAACTGCCACCCCCCATGTCTGCAGTATTATGCTTACTCATCCTTTCTTTTTATTAATTCCCTTGTCAGCAGATGCCCATAAAGCCCATAGGCAAAGCATCCCTTTTCCTCCCTCACACTAGTCCATAGCAGCAGCACATTGCCATCAGCAAATTCATCAGCTCATGTAGCAAGTATCTGTGTGGTGCATCCAAAGGTTCCAGCCCAGCAGATGACTCAGACTTGAGCACACTGGCGTTACATTTTGGCTGTATGTTTGGTTTTGAATCAAAGAAAGCTTTCACTCAGAATGGTATTGAAAGTATGCAAAGGCAGCAATGCTTCAAAGCGAGGAATTGAAAGGGAAATGTTTCCTGCATAAAAATAATTTAAGACTTTGGCATATGTGTGCATGGCAAAGGAGGTGATAATTAGTGAGCACACATCAGGTAGGTGGGGATTTTGTGTTGGTTTTATTTTTTGTTGTTTGTCAAGTTTCCAGCTCAGTCAGGGCACAAGATTAATAGTGTCCAATACTGGAAACATTTGCATTTAAGTCTCCAGCTTCAATGAAAATAAGCAAAGAAAAAGAGGTGAATGACATGAAACCAATCTGGTTCCAGTCATCTTAAATTATCTATGTCAAATGAGTAGGTACTTCTGCTGTACCTGTCTCAGCCTCTGTTCTTGAATCATACAAGTACAATGTAATTGTCTCTCATGAAGGTGCCCAGAAAAAATAATTAAATTTTCTGAAATGCTCTCATGGCATAGAAATAAAAATAAAAAGCCCACAAGGGGGTTAACAATCCTATCGTCATTGTAGGATCAGAATAATGCACAGTAAGTACAGGATGAGGCTGTACAACCAACACTAAAGCTCCTGAAACAAGATTCCAAATGGCTATTTATTATGGAAAAGTTTCCCATTTGGAGAACTCAGTGAGGCAAGGGTCTGACCAAGTGAATAACACAAACACAAAGATCATATGATAATGTACATGCTCAAGGGGACTGAGTTAGCATTGAGTATGCTACCTAAGTTCACTCAGTGAACTTGTTCTAAAGTTATTTGCTCCTCAGGAAAATTGCTCTATGGCTATGCAAAACCAGCCCAGTCAATCAAGCAGAGAGCAGTACTGCTCTCTGTTTCTGAGGCTTCATGTTATCCCAGAGATAAGCACTGTTTGATCTCCACAGACCATCTATAGTCTGAGCTTGCCATTGCTGAGTTTTTGATCCCCTATCCAAAACATTTAAAGACCTGCTTAAATAAGCACACAAGGAAACCTGTTGAAGTCAACCAGACTGTTTATGTGTTTAAACCCAGCTGTGCTTATATGATTTATCAGATTCTTTGCCTGGACTACAGACGTCCATTTTCCCAACAGCTCTCTACACCCCACAGGAACTTTCTGGTTCCACTGTTTATAGTTGCTGTAATGGTTCATAAGAACACTGAGGTACTTCAGGCAAAAGTCAGCTGAATTGGTTTAAATGCTCCATTCATGTTCCGAACAAATTCATCTACCTTGGCCCAATAGGAAGAGGGGAAACATCTACATGTATCACAGCTGCAGAGGTGGGAAGGCAGTGATGTCTGGAGTATGGGAAGGGAATGGTACTTGCAAACAGAAATATCTTCAGCCAGCAGTAAAAGATGAAGAACAAGTTTGCCACTTCAGTCTCGTCTGCAGCACTGACAAAACTAAACCTGGAGCTGAGAGCAAGCCCCCAATTCAAATAGGCCAACAAAATGACAGTGACTTACTATCAGGAGTGATTGTTTCCAAATCAATGACAGAGAACGACTGGAAGCTTTTGGTGTCTTAAACACTGACCCATCCTCTTCCTCCTAATATGTGGTCACTATGAAATTTGAAACTCTTTAAAAATAAAATAAGCGCACATTGTAAAATGTGTGAGCAAAAGAGCAAACTAGAGAAAAAGAGAACTAGAGATGCTTTCGTTTATTTTTATACAGTAACTATAGTAAACACTCAGCCCTGGACCATGTAATGCTGGAATCATGTGGCATTGTGTATGTGCCTCATACCCACTTGACTTATTTAGTCATCCTCCTCACTCCAGAATGAACTTTTTTCAAAGGAAACAGCTTATCTTTCATACTGCAGCAGCAGAAGAAAAATCCTCCTATGCAGCAATACTTAAAATGTGGTTTTATGCTCTTATGGCAGCTAATTTTCCTTAAATGACTTAAGGGAATGAATATATCTGAGGGGCCTGCACCAAGCCATTCTGGAATAGCAACATGCAGCTGAACTTCCTCTGCTTTAAAGAACATAATCTCCTGCGGGCAGCTCCTCGTGACAGATCTTGTCTAGAGGGGAAGGGATGGAGGTTATTTTTTATTACAGTACTTTGCAGGGATCATTACTTTGCATTTTATTTCATTTCATGTTCCCCAGTGGGGGGAAAGGTGACAGGACAGACCAATGTGGATGCAGATTCTCTGATCCATCATGGTTTGACAACAGCTCCTTACCACTGGCTCACCCACACGCAACCAGCCATCATGTGCTGCCCATCTGAAAGTTACACTGTACACCTGGACTGTACTTACAATTTTCAGCAGCTTCAATTGGTTCAAAGCAAGTTTTTATTCTGGCACTCTGTTAGTAGGGTCTGAGGTAGCTGACATGTCTTCTCTTTCTGTCACAGCGCCTTATATATATACATATATACACACACATATACTGAAATACAAACATCACTGGATCAGGGAGACTAAGAATCTGCTACTGCCTGAAAAAAATGCAACCAAGCAATAATCCCTTATACAGCCCTGTATTTCTAGGGGTCTCTAAAACTGTCCTCAACAATGGTACTGACTTTCGGATCATAAAAGCAGGCAAGAAATTTTTGGTGAATAGCTAATTCACTGAGAAATGAAACTGAAGAGACATCTGGATGTTGCTAAAGTCTAATTAAAAAAAAAAAAAAAAGAATCCTAAATTGCATTTTTTAAAAAAATTAAATAACCCTGAAAATGAAATGTTACATTTGTGTCTGAAAGGCTCCCATTCTTTCTCAGAAGGAAATGAACTGGAACTGGTTCATCTCAGGTTGATCATTGGGGAGGGGTGGGAGACAGAGAGATAGAGGAGGAAAACATTTCCATTTCATAACAACTCCAACCAAACATTTCTTCTGATTTTTCATTTCAGCTACCAGAGCAAATAAATTGATTCTTTGCACACAGGGCAACAGGAAAACTACCAGAGTCTTTAAAGCTTGCCAGGAATGGGACAAAGTTGAAAATACTTTTTTTTTCTCCCAATAGCTTTAGTTTATTGATAGTGACTTTTAACTTTGACAAGAGGTGTTGCTTTACTATTTAATGTGCTTTCCCTACACCCAACCCTCTCATAATTTTTAAGGACCTCTTTGTCCCTGGAAAAAAAAAAGAACTTTCTTTTCATCTGAAGTGGCTTGCACACTCTGTCTTCTAGAAGGAAATTGTTCTTTGGAGTAGCAAAGATCAAACTATCTGGAATACTCCTTCCTTTTCATTCCATCATCATCACTCTAACACATAGGATGGATGAAGAGCAGAACAGAAAAAAATGCAAGCCAAACAAGAAAATATTTTACATACAATAGGATTCCTCCCCTTATTTAGGACACTCACTATTAATTTGTCGTTTTTGTGCCTAAAGCACCTTCTGTACAGGTGTTACTGCTATCTATCTGAAAAAGTCCGTGAAGATATATTGGCAGAAGCAGGAGTTAAAGTGAAGTAGCTCTTTAGATATTGTTCTACACTAGACGAAGCCAAGGGTAGGAATACCCTTTCTTTATTAACCCTGGGCAAACCAGGTCCCTTCTTTTTTTTTTTTTTAAACAAAACACTATCAGAAAGAAAAAAGAAAAAGAAAAAGAAAAAAAAAAAAAAAAAAAGCCTCTGTGAAAATAAAGATTCAAAGCAAAAAGAAAGGACAAATATCAGAAATTCCATACAGAATAAAATAACAAGCTGTAAGATCTGCTCTTATTTTTCGGTAGTGATTTTTTCCTACCCATCTCCATCGTTGTTCAGCCGTTTTTCTTAGGTGCCACATTCAATAATCCTTCTGCACTTTGATGTCAAACATTCAATAGCTATCTGCCTGCCTCCCGCTTCTCCATATTCCCTGCAATCCATCTCCTCTGATTAGCTAAGATTTCACCTTCGAGAACACCTCTGCTTCTCTGAGTGAGCATGAGTGTGTGCGTGTGTATTTATATAATATTTGCAAATATTATCTCCCTCCTGCTCTGCATGCTACATAGCAACCTCTGCCAGAGCTATGGATTAAGCATCAATGCCATTCAGTAATTCAATTTGGGGGGCCTGCTGTTTCAAATCCAGCTCAGGACATCACGAGAACAGCTCAATTGAATTTAGGGTCTGCTTTCAGCATTACTTCATATTTAATCCGAGCTGAACTTCATTTCACTTGCTCTCTCCACTAAAGATGCTTTCTGCAACCAAAAGATACTTCAGATGTTCCGTGATCTCATGCAGTGGGGGTGTTTGTGCTTACTTCTCTCTTATATTGGTTTGCCACTGGATTAAGCCATGTCAGGGCTGCTGGCAGCTTGCAGAACACCCACAGGAGGAGACAGTCTGTACCCGAGGTGAGTGGCTGCTGTTCCCTTCCCCACTCACCGGGTTGTTGTACATCTCAACGATGAGCTGCTTCACTCCATGCAGGGTGGGATGAGCCCATGGAGATGGATTTGCCCAGTGCCGGTTTAAATCAAAACCCATCAGAGAGCACCTGTGCACACACAGACAAAAAGAACAACAATATATATATGGACTTCAGACAATTCTGGCTTCAGATGTAGAACTATCTTTCATTCAGCCTCCTTCTCCTTCCCAGCACAGATGCTCCCTCTCTCCTTCCCCTTCCACCAGCTGGCCACACGAGTGTGGAAAAGGAGTGTGGCACCTGCCTGTGTCTGGGGATCCCCATCTGTGCCGTGTTGCAGCTGGAGATCCTCAGCTACAAGGATGAAGGGCATCTCCAGGCCTTTACTTTGCACTCAGTCAGGCCTTGACTCAGCAAAGCTGTTAAGAGCATTGAAATCAATGGCCATTAAGTACGTGCTTAAAGGATTTAAAGCATGAATGTAACTGCTCCACTAACCCAGGGCCTTAGTTTTTTCCCCTTCTGCAATTGCCTATACAAAAGTCAGCCAGCGAAGACACTAAGTTAGAATGCTTTTTGGCCATCGGATCTTGTGGGCAGCAAAGCATGTATGCCACCTTGGCTTCTCCTTCCTGCCCTGATTCATATACCTCTCAGTATGCTGTCTGTATATTCTATTTTGCTGCTCTTGGCCCTATGGAGTAATATTCCATTCTGAGTGAAGCCCCATTGAAATGTGAGGCTCTTGGTAGGGGAAACACCCAAGAAATTAAAAATCTAGAGGAGACATAAACAAAAGAAGGAAATCATTTTCCTTTTTACTCCAGAGATCAGCCAGACAATCCCTGGCCAGTGATATAAGGTGGGAGATAAGTCCCTTCTACTCTCTCAAGCTGAGCTTGGGACCAGTGAGAAGAAGCAGAATGTCAGGAACTGTGATCTAAGATCACAACAGGAATTTTATGAAAGATTACACAAAGTCCACAGAAATAACAAAAGCCCAGGCAGAAATGCAACTTTATACATAATACAAACAAAAAAAATCAACTTCATTGCTAAGCCTTAAATCTTCTTGAGAAAACAAGGGCTTTCATTGATCCCTGGTCTATTATGAAAATGCCTGTTCAGCCTTAATCTTTTAAACACACCTATGTAAACAATAGAGATTTACTCCAGAGGCATTATCTTTTGATAAAAATTTTAAGAATCTGAAGACTGAAAAACATCAGTTTAATTGGCAAAAAGAAAGGGAAATGCTCTCACTTCCCTAGCAGTCAAAAAAGACAACTGTATACATCAATCCCAAACAAAAGCTGCATACAGACAGGTGAAATACTAAGAAAGATGAGGGGATGAACGCAGGATGTAGTAGAGAAAATAGCCTCCCTGTCTTGGCCATTACCAGTCTGCTCATCCAAAGAACAGCTGTGTGTCTTGCCTGGACACCCCAGCAATTTTGCAGACAACTAAGGCTGCTGTTTCCCCCCAACATAAAACAAAACATAGAAGCTCTTTTTTCTCTCCTTTTATTTTTTGTCTTAATGTAAACTCTCTCTCCAGTTGGTTCTCCTAATCCTATTTTCTTTTGATCTCACAGACATTGATATAAAATCAGAAGTACTTTCAGAGACATAGGTGGAATTACATTGGGATAAAACTGGTAGAAGTACAGAATTACAGGAATGAGTTTTCATTTAACAAACAGAAGCTGTGGTGATCATCATGAATCTTATTATATTTTGAAAGAATTCCCAAGAAAACAGCATGCACAGCCTACAAGACAACTTTCTTCAGAGTTCAGAACCTCAAATCATATGCCCCCATGGTTGAAGTCTCCCATTTAAATATTTCAAACTAATAACACTACAAAAACCAAGCATATTTTGATTTTACTCTAGCTCCAAAATACACAGAGGTGGGCAAGCCATAGAGCAGCAAAAGCAAACTTTAAATTCACACCAAGGTTGTCAATATTCTTATCTTCGGCTTGGGACTATTTGGATAACAGTGTATAAGTCATCCCTACAGGGAACAGAAGTAAGTGATATCTAACTTTTGTAAAATACCCAGGTGTTGCATTTTGCAATAGCTAAATTTTCTGTGAATCTCTTGTTAGTAATGAATCTCATAGCTCAGGCAAGAAGAATAGCTGAAGATAGTTGTCTTGGCTCAACAAGTCTTTATAAATAGAAAGAAGCAATACTTGACAAACAAGCTATTCATTTGGGAAGCTCCTCTGAGCTCTATTTAATAGAATCCTAAATCAATTTCCAAATATCATTTAGCCAGTCTTTGATGTGATATCACATCTTTATCAATTTAACAATTAATTTGATTTCTGATGGAGGCATTACTATTTCTTTCCAGTATGGCAACAGTGTAGAATTTTCTTTTTTTCTTTTCTTTCAAGTCTATTTTTTATTTCCTTTTTGCCTAAAGACACATTTGTATCTACCGCATCCTTATTATTTATCTGCTGCAAACTCGTGGTCTCTCTAAGGTAACATCAAGTTGTGTTCCTTGTTACTTTAGATTTGATTATTGACTCTATTACATGTAGAACTGTCTCCCAAAGCTCACGTATATCAGGACATGACCAAAACATACGGCAAGAGTCTCCCACATGCCTACTACAGATCCAGCATACATTATACTCTCTTGCTCCCAGATGATGCAATCTCCCTTGTGGTAGTACCTCCAATGCAAGCTCAGGATAACTTAAAAACTGCATCTTGCGCTGCTTTGTAATTCCCCCTACCAACCTTTAAACAGTTCGTTTCTAGTACACACTGCATGCTATTTCCATCGCTTAACTATTCATCTGCTCCTTTAAGCACCGAGTAGGCAAAGTGAGAATATAGGTAAGCTATGGAAACATCAGCTCTGCAAAGGGAAACAGCTATGTACTGATATAACAGGGTATCTTTCAGTATTTAAGACCAGATCTCTCCCTTACTCTGACTGCAAGTGGCTTCAGCATGGTTCCTTAATATGACTAAGTATCTCCCAAAATGGGAAAGGACTTCCAAATATTTCCTGCTGAGATTAGATTTATTTTGTGCAGTAATCAAACTAACGCACTCTGTACAAAAATAAGAGGATAGAGAAAAAAAAAAAAAAGGCAACATAAACCAAGCTAGATAAATTCTACCAAAGGCCAGTTTAAGAAAAACATTTGAAGAGTGATAAGGAAGAAAACAAAGCAGGAGATGTCACAGACTCCAACAGGCTCAAGAGAAGACAAAAGTGGTTTCAAAATTAGTGATAGGTGAAGGAGGTGAACATCTCCAGGGTAAGGGCATTGGAAAATACTGCATTCCATGAGGTCATGCCAATGAACATGGAAGATAATATTGACATAGAGACAGGTAAGAATGATATGTACAGACTCTCACCGGTTAGAGAAAGGTGTAATCAGGAGGAACTGAGTTTCCTACAACAAGCAAAGTAGCAAACTGTTGCTATTACCTCACCTACCTGATGCAGACGTAATTCATACTATGAAAACCTGATATTTGTATTACAGAGTAATTGCTGATAAAAATGACATATATGTCATGTGAAATATTTAAGCCGTTAACAATTGCTTGAATTTTGGACTGTGCTAGTTAGGGTTTGCTAGATATACGTGCCACTTACATATTTTTGTTTTCTGACAATTTATATTTAAATCAGGTTCTATCGTTATTCTGATTGAATTAGAATTTGTTCTTCATAAATGTTCTTCAGTCTTTTTTGAAAATTTCTGTTTTCTACCAACCAGTAGATAAATTTATTACAGTGTTTACAAATTTACATAAACACAGTACAAATTCAGTCAAAGCAAATGAGCTTCAAAATTGAAATGGAAACTGAAACATTTTGCAGTATTTATCCCACCCTACTTGGGAGACAGCCAGATCTCAAGAGGTTACCATCTCAACTCAGTAAAACCAAAAAATGTTCAGACCTGCATTCAGCTTGCTGGGCAACTGTCTGGACAGAACCTCCTTGCCTATGGGGGCTTAACTTATCAGAGGTTTTACAGACTTCTTAGACATCTGCTGTAATGAAAACATTCTCATCTCTTGCTGGAATAGAGGAAGGTTTAGTATCGAGGCATATGCTAGGTTTATTGTTAGGGCTGCTTCCTATTCTTTCAAGTTATGTCTTTACTTTCTACAATCTTCAAGTTTCAGAAACCTCCAGAACCTCTGCCTTCTTTTCTCTTGGGTTCTTCTCCCCACCCCCTGCCCCCCATTCATTTTCCCTACCACGTGAGTCCAAGTCTCTCACTAACAGACCCATTTCCACAAGGTGAGATACAGAGAATAATGGAGGAAAGGAGTTAAAGAAATCCTTTTTCATGGCATATGATTTAATACAAAGAGAACTCTACACTCTTCCCTTCAGCTTTGTAAGGTTGCGTTGGTTCATTGGATCAGTACCAGGTGAATCTCTAGATAATGCTGCACATAAAGCCAGGGAGTTCAAATCCACAAATGGCACTACTGACAGGGTTAGGATTTGAAATTGAAAAGGTAGTGGGGGGACCTCAGGCTTATTGCAATACAAGTGGAGACAGAGGGTAATTGGTCTCCATTGTTGCTCTTCGAGGCAAGAGTAACAGCAAGAAACTGCTGAGAATCTGCAGCCTGCAATATCATGCGAGAAGAGTAGTTGTGCAGCATGAGTGAATACAAGAGGAACACATGGAAGACTTGTTTCTTTTAATAAATATATCATTTTAAACCTGTTATATTCACGACGTTTTACAAATCAACTCTACACCTGCTGTTGTTGGAGAAGTCAGAGTCTTCATTAGTGCACATTTCATCATTTGGGTGCTTGGGGTTTGCGATTTATGCATTTGCCTATTATTCATTAAAGAGGATTCATTCAAGCCCACATGTTCTCAGGCAATTAGGTAGCAAGACATTCTAACGCTCCAGCTACAAAGCATCCCTCTCCCATCCCTCTCTCCCTCCTTCCGAGCTTTCTGCATTTTTAATTTAGAGCTCTGGAAACCTTCACAAAGGCTATTTAACATAACCACTGCAGTGTGCTCCAGGCAGAACACGAGTGTCCATACAGAGCAGAATAGCATTAGCTACCAGAGACCACACGGTGGAGTAGATGTTTACAGA